TCATCTCTATCCTTATAGGACGTCCAAGTGTAGCATTTCAAGTAATAGTGTTTATCTTCAGCATTTGTCTGATTCAGAACAAGTTTCTGAACAAGCAATTCCATTTCATTAAATAACTTAGTAATTGAAGTGTTTTACATAGAGTTATATCCTGTACATGTGGCGTGTGGCTGAATCAAGAGCCAAGGTGGCGCAGTGGTTAAAAGCAGCACTGCAGGCTACTGCTAGATCAGCAGGTCAGCGGTTCAAATCTCACCGGCTCAGGGTTGACTCAGCCTTCCATCCTTCCGAGGTGGGTAAAATGAGGACCCAGATTGTTGGGGGCAATATGCTGACTCTCTGTAAACCGCTTAGAGAGGCCTGAAAGGCCTATGAAGCGGTATATAAGTCTACTGCTATTGCTATTGCTATTGCTAAGGTTAAACTTTTGTGGTGTGCATGGTTCTGGAACTAAATAAAAATAAGCTATTGTTTTTCACTGATTTTAATAGCATTTTTCTGCAAGCTTATAATATCAATAAAGCAGATAATTGTTGCTGCTTCCTTTGATTAAAATAACTCTGAAAAACTGATACATAGGAAAGTCACATGTAGTGGAAATGGAAAACTTAGATCTCACAAGTTACATCCAACTTTCACTGTACACAAATAATAGTTCCATTATCTCAAAAAGTAGCACTAAAACTGATTGACAAAATGCTCACATTGTGGCGATACAATTTTTCATGGTTTTTTTAATTGCTATCTATAAAAACCTAGAAAAGGCCAAATGTTAGCCCTGTTCCTTCTGCCAATGTCAAAATATCAAGGAATAAAATCCCCACATCCACATAAAAGTTTGGGAGACTTTCAAAGGTTGCTCATCTCCATTTTACATAATGTGTTTTTGTGCATTAGAGATTTCTGTATTACAACAAGGATTAGTAGATCAAAGGTAAAGAATACAGGTAGTCCTCAACTTACAACAGTTCATTTAGTGACTGTTCAAAGTTACAATAGCCCTGAAAAAAGTGATTTATGACCATTTTTCACACTTATGGCCGTTGAAGCCTCCCCATGGTTGCATGATCAAAATTCAGATGCTTGGAAACTGGTTCATATTTATGATGGCTGCAATGCCCTAGGATCATGTGACCTTCTGACAAGCAAAATTAATGGGAAATCCAGATTCACTTAACAACCATATTACTAACTTAACAAATGCAATGATTCACTTAACTGTGGGAAGAAAAGTTGTAAAATGGTGCAAACTCACTTAACAAATGTTTCACTTAGCAATATAAATTTTGGGCTCAATTGTGGTCCTAACTCACAGACTACCTGTACTCTGAACAATTTTTGTGTTGTTCAACACAAGCTATAATATGAATGAGCCTTCTGAAGGCTCAAGAAGCCATATCACTTTCCCTTTGTAAAGGGATCAGGTAAATCATAGAGTTGAAAATATTTTCCTATTTCATCCTAATGGGAAAGCTTCATTTACAAGTTTCCAATAAGACAGAATATTAAACAGCTTCAAATCATGATTATATAATCTAATTTGAATGGGAAATTATAGTTTAGAAGAGTTTAAATGAAATTTTCCATCTTGAAAGAGGAAGGAAATGTACTATATGCAAATAGATTATTCATATGAAGCTAAGGTACAAGAGTTTAAATACAATGTATTTATATGAAGGTCATTATTTCTATTATTTAGAAATAGAAAATGTTTATCCATCCTAGAAATTTCTTATATTTCTTATTCCTGATGGAACACGTAAGTATACATTTGGGCTTCTGCTTTCAGTAGCTTAACAGTTGTAAGCAAATGTATATCCTATGTGTGTTTAAGTAATTAAAAATCTCAAGAAACTTGATTGCTTCCAATTATATGCCAGTATGGGTAAATTTTAGATATAAAAATTGCATTCATCTCAAGCATAACTAATTTAACTTGGAAAAGTGGGGCTTTCAAAATATACCTTTGCACTTGATAACATTTGTATTGTTTGAGATGACGAACGTTGCATTTCTGGTACTTCAGCTTTTTTTGGAATGCTCAAATTTAAAGGCAGTTTTAGGTGTGTCTCCACTGAGCCATATGCTTTTCTTCCTAGGTTAGCATGGCAGGTTGCAGCCTATTACTCAGGGGTGAAATCCTCCCAGTTTGGCCCAGTTCGGTGGAACCGGTAGAAACTATTGTCCCTGGTTCTGTGAAGCAGTAGTAAAAATAAAACTTCTGAGGATCGTGTGGTTCAGCTGTGAGCTGCGTAATTGTTAGAAACTCCCACCACCATCACCCCTGCTTTTTAAAGCATTTTTCGTGCCTGTTCTCCCAAACTAGCAGGAAAAAAATGCTTTAAAAAGTGAAAAAAGTTGGCCACGCCCATCCAGTCACATGACACCTCCTCCCCCCCACCAAGCCATGCCCACAGAACTGGTGGGCAAAAATTTAGATTTCACCACTACTATTACTGTACTCATGAGTTTACTCTGCACATACACCTTTACGGTAGGTGCATCTCATGGACCATTAGCCACATGTCCATGGTGGCGCAATGGTTAGAATGCACTATTGCAGGCTAATTCTGCTGACTGCCAGCAGTTCAATACCCATGAGCTCAGAGTTGACGCAGCCTTCCATTCTTCCAAGGTTAATAAAATGAGGATTCATAATGTTGGGATAATATGCTGACTCTGGTTCCACCACAAAACCGTGATGCCCTTATCCGCGCCGACATAAGTGCGGAGGCAAATCCGTGGCGTCCGAAGCGCTAAGAAAAAAATGACCCTACCGCCGCGACAACAGCGTGGCAACAGAAGGGCGTTCTACATGCTTCGTTATTTGCCTCCAAAGGTAGCCCTTCTCCTCCAGCTGACAGTGGCAGCGGGCACGGGGCAAAGCGTGCCTGTCCGCCCTGCTTTCTCGCTCCTCTGTCTTCCCTCAGCAGCAGCTGGAGGAGCTGTCAAAACTTCCATCTCCACCCGCTCCCAGGGCCGGCGAAGCGGCCTTGCCCGGCGGAGGCAGGCCGCCCTCTTCTTCCTCAACAACATCTCCTTGGACGGGCGGCTTGGACGGGTGGCCGCCTGTCCAAGGAGATGTTGTTGAGGAAGAAGAGGGCGGCCTGCCTCCGCCGGGC